AGGAAACATTTTACTAAATAATCTAGATGATGTTTATATAACTGATTTAGGTTTATCAGTATCATATAATGAAAAACAAGATGGTGGAATTTATGGTGTTTTGCCATATATCGCACCAGAAATTTTATCTTGTAAATCAATATTTACACGTGCTACAGATATTTACTCGTTCGGAGTTATCATGTCAGAAATATCAACCGGACAAAGAGCTTTTGATGGTTACAAGTTTGATAGTGTTTTAGCAATAAAAATTTGCAACGGATTACGACCTGAATTTGCACCTGGAACTCCCGAATGTTATGTTGAATTAGCGATGCAATGCATGAATTCTGATCCACAAAAACGACCAGCTGACTGGGAGGTTATTGAAAAACTTAAGGAATGGAATAAATGTATGGAAAGTTTTGATGATGCAAATGAAATTAAAAGGCAATTCTTAGAAGCAGATAAGGTTGTTAAAGAATTACCGATTATTATGCAAAAACACCCGGATCACATGTATACTTCAAAGCTCATCAACACGCGAGAAATTACTGAAGGGCTATCAAGGATAGTCGGTAGCAATCTTATCAATAGTGTAAAAATTCCTTACTGATATGGGATTTTTTTTATTTGAGGTGGTCTCGGTAATTCGTATGCCAGTATTTATGAGATTTATGTATAAAATTGAGTTGGAAAAAAACGGTTTAATGTTTTATAAATTGACTTAAACATGTTTAGTCTTTTTAAAAAAATATAAAATTAATCGGAGTTGCCTTGAGAAAATTATATATATTTGAGTGCAGTCAAATTAAAACCTGCAAGTAAAAAATCTTTCTCCGTTCGGACTTAGCATAAATTTAACATATAAAATTACTTGAATTTTTACCTATCATATCTAATATAATATTTATACATATTTAAAAAAAGTTGATCTATTTGTCCCTCGTGACATTTCATAGCAACTCAAAGGTTTAATTTGTCAGCACTCATTTATAAACTGATATTGACCTTGGTCTTAACTCAGTTCGGGTAGAGTATTGACGTGGATCACTAGTGAGCAGATAAAAACAACATTTGATATTTTATATAGAAATGGCAAGCATTTTAAAACCCAACTCCAATGTGATTGATTATTGCAATTAATTGAAGCGTTTCTTGTTATAACATGCTACGTAGTAATTCTTTGTACGAAATGTGGATTTTAAATTTTGGCAAACCAGAGTAACTTTATGAAAAAGGGTGGTCTGCACTTTTATATTTTATTCATCGAGATGTTAACTAATTGGTTAGTTTTATTGATTTTCTATCCATTTAGTGGGGTGCTTGAGAATACCTCTTAGTAAAGTAAAATATGCAATAGTTAAAAATGTATTCTAACTAATCTAAAAATTACACTTAACATATAATTTGTTACCTATTTATAATTACTGATTATAACAAGTTATTTTAATAACCTGATATTGTAGTATCTGCAGATAAGATATATATTATGCATCTAAACACAAAGTTTTATCATAAGTTATAGTGAACATTTATATTAGATAGTGGCAGAATTAATCTAACAGATTTTAGTTTGATGTATAAGTATAAATTAAAATTGATCTTAATCTTTATAAATTAAAATATTCAATCTTCTAAAGCAAACTTTTATTAATGCAAACTTTTATTAATCTAAATTTATGATGTAATTAAAAATGCAAAGTATCTATGTCAGATAGTAAAAAGCATAAAATATCGTAAAAATTTTTTTGATTATAAAAAATTTTTATACTTTATATTTGTGTTGTAGTAAAAACAAGCACCTCTTATAAGTTCGGTATAACTAATGACAGATATGTTAGACAAACACCGTGTTTATGCTTAAATAAAATATATAGTTTATTACGATTACGCTCAAAGAGGATAATGGTGATTTGCAGTTACGAAAGAGACAAACAGCTACATGTATATGAAAATACAAGTAGTCACATAACAAGTTTATTATTTGTTTGAGTTGTTTGTGTATTAAGACACGATTACTCTTTATTATTGTCTTGTTGAGTATAGAATTACCGTTGATTTTACAGGAGCGATACAGCAGCGAGGTTTCAAAACATTATAATCCTTAGCTATAATTTCTACTAGTTATTGCTATAGCTAATACTTCCATGAAATATAATAAAATTAATATTTAAATAAAACTAATAGCTCAATTAGCAATTGTAGGATTCTTGGCATTTGTAATACATTGTTATTATATTACATTACAGCATATGATATTATTTAAGTCTTTTTGGCCACCCTTGATTATTCAATAATCCTTCAGATTCTCCAACCACAACTTTTGGTCCATCACCAACTTTTGTATGTAAAATTTGTTTAACACTTCCTTTAGGAAATACTGGAATTATCTGGTCGTTGAATCCTAAAGGTAATGGTTGTTCTCCAATGGTTTTTCCAACAAATAATTGAAAAGGATCAGAGAAATAATTTTTTACATCATCATTGCCTGGAAAATATTTTGCTATCAAGTTAATTATCTCAGGTATGTTTTCACTAGTTGTGTAAATCACAGCGTTTGGCCCAGCATCAAAAGTATATGCAGCTTTTAATTTTTTTTCAGAATTAGTAGAATTATATTCTGTAATCATACGAATAATAGCTCGAGAAACATCATTAAGATAAAAAATTGGAGGAAATGTGTCTAAACACACGGCGTGAAATTGATTAGAATCTTGCATGGTAATTTCAGCAAATTTTTGAAAATCTCGTTCATGAATAGCATCAATCATGTTTTTCATTCGAACAGGAACAACATGTTCAATGCGATGTTGAAGGAGGGTAGAAGTATTGACCGTATTTTGCATTCCTTCTGTACTACTGACTCCCTTTTTGGCGTCGCTGACTATACAAATCAAAGCTTCTAATTCAGGCCAATGGTCTCGCGGCGCAATTTCTACTGCTTGGCTGTCGGATCCGTCATCTTTAGAACCCATTTCCCATGCGACGAATCCACCGAATAATGAACGACAAGCTGATCCTGAACCTTGTCTTGCGATTTTTGATAATTCAGCGGCAGATATTGGTAATTCATATAATTGAGAAAGTGTATATACCAAACATGCAAAGCCAGATGCTGAGGAAGCTAGTCCAGCTGCTGTAGGGAAATTATTTTCAGAACAAATGTGAAGATTATATTCTGATAAAGGCAAGACTTTATCTGGGCCTTTATCTTTACGCAATTTCTCTTCATATTCTTTACGTAAACGTCGGGTTTCACGAAAACAATTTTGTAATCGCTTGTTTTTTTCTATATCAACATCTTCAACGCCGTTAAGCCAAAGTCTAGTTTTTTCAAAATCTGGCGAAGCTCGGATTGTAGTTTTACTATGCAAATGATCTTGAGATAATGTCACAGAAAGTGAAGCATTTGTTGGAAGAATTAAAGTTGTATCCCGTTTTCCCCAGTATTTAATGACTGCTATGTTCACTGGAGAAGTTGCAGTTTTTTCGTAAATAGTTTCCATTTTTTTTTTTTTTTAAATTAGGAAAATACCTTTTTAATATCTATTTTTTAGTCCATCTTTTCCTTAAATATGCCTTTGTACGCTGCATGATATTACAAAATAAATTTTTTCTTGGAAAAGTGATCGACGTAAGTATGTATTAACGTTAGTGTATTTCGCTGATAACCAAGTCTACATCACATAATGTGACAATTTACAAATAATATATGTTAAATTGTCACGTTATGTGGTGTCGGCAATAAAACAAACAAAGTGGACTAGCTTTGAAAGTAGGACAAGGGAAGGACTTTTTATGTGTTGCAGAAGCCTCTGCTGCCTCCGATGAAATAGATGAATTGTTAATAATGTGGTCGGCTCACCTTAGTCCCATTATAGAATAGGTGTTCTAGATCTTTTAGACTTAATACGTACTCGTCGAACGTATTTAGAATTAATAGATCATAAATTAATACAATTAATAAAATTACTTGTTTACATTCTCTTGATTGACTAGTTCACTAGTTATTCAGTCAGATGTAGTTAGAGCTAGAGTAGGGATGGACAAAGTAATTTTGTAAGTAATAATGACTTATTACTTATCCCTTAATTAATATTAAGTAGTATTAAGTATTTATTACATTCCATTACATATTACGTGTAAATTTAATCATTTGATAATGGTCGGAAGTGAGCGATCAAAACTGAGATTAAGAATAAATTTGATACTAAAAATAGAATTATCGTAAAATTATTTATTATTACATATTTGCAAAAAAAATCAAATAATATTAAGTAATATTAGGTATTACTTTTGCCCATCCCTAAGCTAGAGCCAAACTGGTTGAATACATTGTTTGGGTAGATAAATAATTAATCACGAACAATTCATTTATCTTTTTATTAATTTTTCTTAATAATGTTTCGTTGTAATAAATTCGCAATTTGGTTAATTGGTTATTTTACATGAAATTGGGTATAATAATTATTTTTTGTTTAAGTGTTATCAGTTATTATGCTATATATATTTATATATTTTTTTACGCGTTATTATTCTTTTAGACATCCACGAAATTACACACGTTATCCATTCTTTCAGAAAATATTGCATTTACTTTTATGAGTTTGTAAGGTAATGCCAGCAAGATTAAACCGACTTTTGGTGAAGTCAATAGAAATAGGTAATTTGTTTCTTTTACTTTAACTTATTTAGAGTTAACATTGTTGCAAGTGTGAATCTGTCTTTTATTAATAGGGCAGTACACTATGGAAAAGCAGATTGTCAACACTATCACGAACGAAAGTCCATTAATACGATACGTTTAATTTAACAAGCACATTCTAATATTTTGCGGTGTTCATTTTCCTAAAATAAGCACTTCTTGTTATATTTGATTAAAGAATAGCTTTAATGTTTAGCATTAGATGCATGTAAATACGTAAATTAGGATAAGCAATAGATGACTCGATTATTATTGCGTCGTGTTTCCTCATTTAAATATTCAAAGAAAAGAAATTCTCTGGAAAGTTTTAGGGTCAATCAATTAAGTATACATTGGTAATAAAACGAAGAACATATATATTAGAAATGATCACCTTTTTATTTTGTGATTTTGGTGAAACGAATTTTTCCCAAGCTTCGGCCAAACCTAATTTTCCAAATAATTTACTAGCTTTTTCTGGACTCAAAGTTACATCTGTTTTTTCAATTTTATGATGTCTTGGTTCTGGATCAATAAACATATAAAATTGTAATTAATAATTCAAATATTGGCCGTAATAAAATTTATTAAAAATTGAGAGATCACCATAAAATCCGGATGATTGAGAAGGTCCATAGTCTACAGATGCTTTATAGTTAGGGTGAACATCATCTTCGTCAAGTTGACTTTCTGTTATTTCGCTGAATCTTACTTTTTTAATTTTAGCTTTAGTTATTTGGTCTTGCGCTATAGATTCTTGAACCATTTGTTGGTCATTTTGATTTGCGAATTTTTCTTGTGACAAGGCATCCTCATATTTTGGATCCAATTGCTCGGTATGACGTTTATCTGTTTGGTCTTTCACAAGTTCATTTTTTGTTTGGTCTTTCGCAAATTCGTTTTTGGGTTGATTTTTCATAAGCTCATTTTCCGTCTGACCATTCAAATTTTCGCTCTCTGTCTGATCTTTTTCACTTTCTGTTACGCCTTTCATAAGTTTACTTTCTACCTGATCTTTCGTAAGTTCATTTTTTGTTTGGTCTTTTGTAGTTCCTACAAATCCTTTACTTTCATCTTCGACTCCTTCGGTCAGCATCAGGATGTCTGTTAACGTAAAAGGTAATGAACAATTTGCTTCTAAAATTTAAAACTGGTTAGTAAAAGGTAAAGGATGAACTGATTTATGAAAGGCGGAGTTTTGGTATTAATACGATTCCCTTTTAAATGGTGAATTTTTTCTCATAATTAGTCATAAATTTCTATCAATAACGTAATAGTGATGTCATAAAGAAAAGGGTTAAATCACGTGCAGAAACAAAAAAAAATACATATATCGTTGATGGTAGAAGTCTAAAGGAGAAATTAGAATTTAATTTTCACATTTTAGTTAGAATTGATTAGAACCATTATATAAATGGGTTGAGACAGTATACAATTAAAATAATATTAAGAGCTTAATAAAATTAATATTACGAATAATAAAATTAATTCTAATGCGATCACTCACGATAAAATTAATTTATGAAACTATTAATTAAAATAGAACATAATTATTTGCACGAATTTCTTACGATAAAATTATACGTAGTAATAATTATAAATATCGCTAATAATTAAAACTTTATTGCATATAAAGTTTCTAAATTTATACGTATGTCTAATTCAATTGCAATTTTAAAACCCAAATTTTTACGTGCATATACCATATTATTGTGTGATGCGCAGTGAGTAAATTTGACACGCACCTGCAGTTCATATTTGACATACGTAGGAGTAATTAAGTGATAGATCTGAAATAATATCATAATAATAAGTTTAAATCATCGAATCATCATTAAAGTTTCAAGTTTTCCGCCTATCATATAAATGGCCAATTTCCCCATATCCTTCCGAGATATTTTGTTTTTTTTTTCTTCTCAAACTGAGTACACTAAAAGGATGGATTCTTTTAAAGAAAAGGCTCACGTTCTTTCCGAAATTCGTTCTAAGTTTACGAAATTGGCTTCTAAATTTCAAAATAATTCAGACCTAATTTCTACGAATTTTCATACATCCTTTCGTCAAAAACTATTTGTCGATTACGGCTATGGTTCATCAATTTATGTTGATGAGGCTTCTTTCTTCAAACTTTTTGAAAATCAATTAGACAACGAAATACCTGCCGAGACGATACACCAAGATGAAATGTCAAAAATAGAAACATGCTTTGGTGAAAGCGTCAAAACAAAATACTTGGACGCTGTAAATTCCGCACATAAATTTTGTCTTCAAAAATGTCGTGAACAAAAACAATCTGCATTACGAGATATTTTTATGCTTCCATCCGGAAATAAGGAACAAGTAATCAAAACATTAAACCAAATAGATTCTTCTTTTGTGGATATGCTATCACAGATGATTGAACAGTTTCGAGTCACAATTGGATTTTATAATACTATTTCCATGGATCTTTCGTATATCAATCAAACACGTTTTACAGACGATACCAAGCAAATTCTCGAAAGCTATTTTTGCGAAATATCCGACCGACCGAACCATTGTGACAAGTCAAAACTAAGTGAAACAACTGGGTTGTCCATCAAACAAATTGAAACTTGGTTCAATAATAGAAGAAACCGCGCCGAAAAAGATAATGAAAAACTCGAGAGATTGACCACCGAATTTTTGGATAAAAAGGTGGATTGGGAAGATAAATTCGCTGCTGCCATATCAGGAAAGATAACTGCAAAGGATATGAGAACCATCATCATTCAGACATTCGATCTTCCATACACTGATTTAATTGAAGAAGAACCACTTGAATCATCCTCCCGTAAAAAGTCTACCAAAACCCATAGACGTCTTACGAAAGAAGCTCGCAAGAAGGCCGCACCTTACAACAAATCATCACCGATGACAACAAAAATAGCAATGATGCGAACAAATGAAGTTAAAAATGATATTCTTCAAGATGAAGATTCAAGAGATTTCATTTCTACTGCTCAATATTCCACTCAGCTCTACGGAAATGAATTATCAACAGGGTCTAATATGCCTCAACAAACTACAACAGATGTATCCGATAATTCAGTTGCAAAAACAAAAATGACCACACTAAAAATTCGTCATCGTCCCAATAAAAATTTGGCAAGAACAATATCACAACCATATAATCGCACCCAACAAAATAAACAAGTATCAAACAACATTGAACAGGATCCAGAAATATCTATAGATAGGTAAATTTTTAATTTGCTTATTGTTTATATAAAATTTTCAAAAAAAGTGTATTTTTGATTATTTCGAATAGATTAGCTGCGCAACCAAAATTCAATAGATCGACCAAAATTCGAGGTCGGAATAGGCCGGAATTAATAGATTTCTCCCAAAATCACACTAATAAAATGGTAGCCCACGTGCTAAGTAAAGCTGCCCGGATGATAATTTTGCTGTAATATAGTTGGCTGCTATTATTGCTTAATACCGGCTTAGCTTCCGACCTTAAATTTTGGTCGATCGGCTGAATTTTGGTTGCTCCACTAACACTAGGGTGGTTGGCAAGCTGGCGAGGCGAGCTTTTTTTTTTAGCTCGCCAAATAGTGGCGAGAGTCTCACCACTATTTGGCGAGTTAAAAAAAATCTCGCCTCGCCAGCTTGCCAACCACCCTAACTAACACTAATCTATTCATTATTTTTTTGTAAATTTTTTCTAATGATATATTAAGATTTTTTGTAAACCTTACCTATTTGTAGATATTTCGGGGTTCTCAATGAACCAGCTATTTCCAGAGCTCCATCCATGGACGAGGAACAATTTCAAATAGCGGAGGAAATCCAGCAAGATCTGGATTTCACCCAAGTAGATGACGCGATGCAGTATGCTTCGCTCCCCAGTAGTTCCGCAAGCTCCTTTGAAGGAGACATCTTTGATTATATATCCACATACGCTCCAACCACAAGCTTTAGTAATTTATCAGACATATCCGACTTTAGTCAAGCAAGTGACGTAGTCGATTTCGATCAATTAAATGATATCTCCACTTTGAATAGTTACTGCCCAACATTACCTTTTGTTTTCGAACAATATGATTCTTCATCCATGGTGATGCAATCGTCGGATGATCACGATTTTACTTTCAATGCGGTTACCATACCTAATTTATCCGACAGCTATTTGGATTACGCGTCAGGCACGAGTAATTTTGTATCAAAAGACACTTTACAAAACCATGTTTCGGAGCAGGAATCCGCAGTTGACATGACAAATCATTACAATTTATTTGATCCCTTACTTGATAATGATATGAATGTTACTCAACAACAAACTTACTTTGACGATAGTAATTTTATTGTCGATCCGGTCTATGAAAATATTGACCCTAGCGATGTAGAATCATAAATATTTCATGACTTTTCACTCATTTTAATGAGAAATATTTCTATTCCAATGTCTTTTTTTTTCTTATTCCCACCGTCAAATACTTCAAAGAATTGTTTTATGCTAACATTTGGTCACATTTCATATCACATTTCCCGAAAATGTCCTTATTGTATGTAAATATTCTTAAGACTTTCTTGTAAATTTTCTTTTGTAAATTTATAGGTTTTTTTTTTTAATCTAGTATTCTTATGTTTTATTTATAGTATTTTTATCTATATACTGTAATATTCTTTTCATTATTTATAGCATTTTTTTTTACGACATTCCTCACGTTTTAACTTCTTCTATCTTAATATATATAAATATATACCGTATCAGATTTTTTTTTTTTTTTTTTTTTACGATTTCAAAGTTTTGTCGTTATCATTATAACCTGTAATGTAGGGGTTCACGTTAGAAACTAATGCAATGCTATTTTAACAACATAAATTAATCGTAGTGAATCGTAGCATTTTAACAAAGTAAAGCATGTGTATAAATAGTAATAATAGCTATCATCCCTTAAACCATAGACTTTTGCAGGTAAATTTGCCTACAACTCCGTTTAAGGATAATACTTTATTTTATAGAGTATGGCAGAAACAGATACGCAATGAAGATGTCAGTATGTTTTATTTAACATTATATTGCGCTGGTCAAAGTATTTTCCCTTAGGGTTTAAACCACTATAGTAGTTTGCTAGCATCTTATTGTTTAAAAATGTTCTTTTTAATACAGCAAATTAAATATTTATATTATATAAATTCATAGATCAAAAATAATACTTTCCCGTCAAATTAATATGGTAGTTTAAGCTCCGCTTCTCTTTCTGTAACTTTTTAAAATAAAAAGCTTTAGTTTTGAAACTTTTACAATAAATCGTATTAAACAAATATATAAATTAGTAAAAAGTTTTAATTACTATAACAAAAGTTAGAATAAAATTTGTTAAAATTTTTAATATATATTTTTAAATTAAAAAACAAATGGATTTTAGCATTTATCGCCGGTGGCGATACCACCACCTCCTATTTCTTTTATCAAATTTAGAGATAGGGTGCAATTTTAGACCAAGGTTAGGGTTAGGTATAAGGGTCCAAATCTTTGTTAGGGTTAGGTTTTTGGGGGTCCTGAACATTTTTACTTAGTACCTTCGACATGTGTTAGCTAGTAGGTTTTTGAGATATAGTATCCCCGGCGATATCGCCACTGGCGATAAATAGCAATATCCAAAACAAATAACTATTTTAGTTATGATGTAATTTTAGAGTAATCAAATATAATGGTTCAGACTTTAATTAGAGGTGGATTTTTGGGAGGTTTGAAATTTTTGTTTAATATTTCAAATATAAATCAGCTAAAATATTGTACCAGTGATAATCACTGGTTATATAATTATTAAAATCTTTAACAAAAAATTAAAAAATTCTAAAAAATTAAAAGGTTTACTATGTTTTTTACTAGTAATAATACTAATATATAGTATAATATAAAATTTTATTAATAGAATTAATGTAAATGTACCCATAGGGTACATTAAATCCAGTAAAATTTTGACTTTACTACAGAATAACTAGTGATAATTATATAAATAACTTATTTTTAAATCTAATAGTTTTTAAGTTTATCTTCTAAAAAAAAATTTATTATTAAAAATAGATTATTTTTAACAATATATAATATATATATATAATTTATTAAATTTGAATATATTTATAAATTGAGAAAATATGCATTTAAAGAGGTTATGCATTTAGGGAGGTAAAAATCTATAAGTGTTATAATAGTTGGACCCAAGAAAAGATATGCATTTAGGGAGGTTTTATTTAGAGAGGTCCGACTGTAATAAAAACAAAAACATTTTAACTAAACTAGACTTCACCTATACTAACACTAGTACAAAAATATGATATAACTTTTTTCAAGATTATATTTGAATGCCAAAAGTAGATTATTTTATTTATCTTCTTTAAAAAACACTATAACATTATTACTTTATAACAAAAATAACAACCAATTCATACAAACAGACTTTAACAATATCCAAACAAAAACTTTGAGAAAAAATAACAATACAGTTTTATTTTATTAGTTTATTATTTTATCTTATTATTATTTTATGATTTTGATATTTGTATTTTATTAGTTATTAGTTATTATTATATTTATCTTAAAATAAAATTTAAAAAACATATATAATAATTAGCCTTAATACTTAGTGATTAATAATTAATGATTATGCTTAGCAATTAATAATTAGTGATTATGTTTAGCAATTTATTATTAGCAATTATTCTTAGTAATTAACAATTACACTTAACAATTAATAATTACACTTAGCGATTATGATTAACAATTAATGCTTATCATATTTTTATAAAATAACACCTATCTGCACATTATTTTAAGTATATGCATATTATTTTGAGTATATATATAGACTTTATTTTGAAATAAATATAAAATTTTTAAATATCTTCTTATATAATACAACTATTTTGAAACTAAATTTACTTAATATCAAATCTAATTTTGAAGTATTTTTTTATATTACTATAAATAATTACTTCTTATTATAAGATGTGTATTATTTCAGAACATATATAAGTATTATTTCAAAGCTATATATGTTATTTTTAAAGGTTACAATTTTTAATTTTTTTAAATTTTTTTATTTAAATTTGCTGTATATATAATAAGATTAATTACAGATTTGTATTAAGATGATATTAATTTTGAACTATCTATTATATCTTGTATAACCACCTAAGTGTAACAAATCACCTCTTAATTTTCTATTTATAAACTAATTTAAAACTAATACTAGAATTGTGCAATTTAACAGTTAGTCCTAACTGCTAGTAGTAGTTTCAACTGCTGCAGAAGATATTCAAAACCTAATCTAAAAATATGTGAAATATAAAAAAATTAAAAGATATGTACTACACCTCCTCTAAAGTAACCTCATAGTATAAGAACTCTATTAGGTTATCTATAGAATTAAGACACAAGTAATATAACAAATGTTGATCTGAGTAGTCTTCAATTGAAGTAACATGAAATTATAAGCTGACATGATTGTGATAGTAATATAGAACAGAAAACATTAGAGAGTTTAAATAGATAATCTTCTAGTTAGGTTACAGGTATAACATCTAGTATAGAACCTTTAGATAGACTACTTAAATAAACAACCAAAAGTTGCATGTGTAGCTAACTATACTCTCATTAACCAAGAATATATTACTAAAATATCTAATAAAAATTTGCCTGCTCATGATATTGCAAAGGTAAAAAAAAAATTATTTGTAAATTACTAGTAATATTACCAGTTGTAAGAGAAAAATAATTTTTTGAATTAAAAACCAAAATCTAATAAAAATCTAAAAACAATATTAAAAAAAATTAAAGTAAATTAAGTATTATCATACTAATTGTAGATTATTACAGAAATCTTCAATACATAATTTTTATTAATTACCTTATATCTAAGTTCTGCTATACTTTAGATAAAATAAAAAATTTTATTAAATTTGATTAGATAATTGTTAAGATATTTAAAGTTGAAAAAATGATTATTTAAAAAAAAAACTCTTTTTCAATTGACTCACTTTATATACAAACCTATGCCAGAGTCGTAATTGATCTTAACGTCAATTAGACGTAATTCGAAGATATGTCGCTACGTCAAAAAGCTATTGCCATAACATTTAATGTGTGCCGTAAATTTTTGATTAAACAGAATTTAAATGGATTTGGATTTCTAGTATTTTTAGAGTAGTGTTTGTCATATGTAAACCTGATAAATTTAATTAGGAGAAAGAAGTATTACGTATGTAAAGATAAATTTCACAAACTTGAATGCTTATTATAAATGCATTCATTTGATAATTTTTATTTTCATAAATGAAATAGAGTTAAAAAGGTCTCTATACGATAAATTCGAATTTAAATTAATTATATGGACTTCAACTAATAAATGATTATTAAAAAAAACTCATTCAACGTAATCATCTTTATTGTCATAACTTTCTATATTACCTGTTACAGAACTAAGGTTACGGCAAGTGTCAATTATTATGACCTACGTCATTATTACACTTTTGACGCGATGAACGTCAATTGGACGTAACCATACCATATATCTTCAAATGTTAGCATCTATAACTCACTCTCACATCTTTAATAAAAATTTCTAACTTTATAGTTGGTAATTATTTTTAGTAATCTTTTAATTTATATTAAAAACTAAAATTATAAATTTTTAAATTCTTTAGTACAAATTAAACTATTATTTCTAGTTACTATAAAAGTATTGTTTATAAATTAATACTTTAAAAACAGTTAGTTTAGAGAATTATTAAAGATAATTAAATATAATTGATATGTATTATTATTAAAAATAAACTAGTTTATTACCTTTAATAATAATAATGATATTAATACGTACTAAACTTAATTTCACAAAATTACAAATGATCTTATAATCAATCTAATTTTAAGAATTCATCGAAATTAATGACACTTTCATGATTTACGTACGTAGCAGTATTTGAGATTTTTTACAGGGTAATTACAAAATTATTAGCTGGAAATTTTACTTACGTACGTACGTACGTACGTACGTACGGTGCAGGACCTCAATCTCCATGTTAAGGTGATGCATAAACTAGTAGCTCATTGAAAATAAATTTCTTAAATTATCAATCTCAATAGAGTGATGGGCATAGAAATAATATGCCAAGAATAATATACACTTAAGTGGAACTGTTTTATGCATACGGCTGAAAGTTAAAATAAGCGCTACTTAATTTAGCTTATATTCAATGCGCTGGTCGTTTTTTGTTCTATATAAAGTGATTGAGGTTTAGGTTAGTTTTTTATGTAATTTGTAATTTCGGATAAATTAGTACTTTATGCATAATGTGATGAAAATTACAGAAACTAGTAAAATTACGTATAATGTGAAATTGTAATTTATATAACTCAACCTTATGTAGCTCAACCCTAATCTTATCGTTTTCCCGACTATCGATGCTGGTGAAACTGGTGACCATTTAAAATCTTATTGGCTGTTATATTAAATTTCGCCAGTTTCACCGCCATTCACCGAGAGTTTCACCAGTTTCACTAGCATCTATATTCCCGACAATATCAAATTAGCCCGCAATAAGTTAGCGTTAATTATAGTCAATTTTGTTTGTCGAGAAGTGGAAAATCCAAATTTTGTATTTCGCAGATCAGTATAATGTATTTGTAGATCAAATATCTGATATAATATGGTATAGGTGGGTAGATTAGTATAGTTCAGACCGATTTTAAAAACTATACCATACCAATCAGCTGTAATTCCTAACCCTAATATATAACCCCGGACTAACATAGGTTTTAAACGTTGGCCTGTATTATGTATACAGATCTGCTCATCTAAACTATACTCAGTATACTAGGGTTGCAAAGTTACATCAAAATTTTCGGTGATTGAAATTTAATTTACAGACCACATATATTGTAAGATTGTAATTTTCAACCCTATACTATACTAGTCTACATAATTTAATCGATTAGTTGTAAAGTTGACAACTAATCAATTTGAATTTTACAAACCCAACTTAGTCAATTAATCAACAGATCATATATCAACCCGACTGTTTCATTTGTTACTTTACGTGTATTTTATTATTATTTTATTCACTAATCGATTAGTTGGCCAATCGATTAGTTAACTAAATCGACTAATCGATTAGTTGAATAAAATCGATTGGTATCACTATCACTATACAGACCAAATTTTTAAAACCATACCAGACTGATCTGGCGTTATATAATTAGCATTAGAGTCAGGAATTATAGCTGATTGGACTGTATATATGGTTTTTTATATTATGTAACATATGAGTCAAATTAATTCTGATAAAAGAAATCTTCTACCAATATCGATAATGCAGTCCTACAATATATTGTACGTACAGTATATTCGAGTTTTGACAAATGATTACGTAATCTCATGATAAATATGAGGCTGTTCTCGAAACATGACAATACGGTAATTTAATCACAAGACTGGTAACCTTGACAGGGTTTAAAATAGCATCGAGTTAGAAAACCGGTTAAAGGTTTATAAACACCAGTTGCTTTATTTTTAGCACTAGACTATTTTTAACAACTGGTGCCAACTTATAAATAATAAACAAAATGACTAAATCGGGTATATCTGAAAAAACAATAGCTAAAACTAGGAAGTCACTAGCACTGCTTAGTAAGAATTGTTCAAAATTCATGTTAAACGTGTTAGACTGTATATACAAAAATTAAGATTTTTTTTGTTCCTTTAACTCACTTGCATCAATTAAAGAAAACATTTGTGATTATTTAAGGTAGAAGCCTGGTTTCCGGATCGCATATTTAAGGCATATTGGCGCTATGCAAGTTACCGGCGTTAATGCTAACGTCAGTATCAACCATTTTCAGATCAGCCATGTACGTACGAGGTGCCAGTATCCGCAGAAGCATGGTGATTCCCTGATAGAAGGTTCCTGATACAATTATGGGAATAATCCAAATCTGGGTAGCATTTTATATTTCCCACGTGATTTTTGATTTATGAATAAATTGTAATTTTTATGAATAATTAGTAATCAACTTAAAAACCATTGCCTGGCTTTAAATATAAGCATAGCCTTCCACTAAAAATCAGCATGAAAATGCTTTGCACATCTACCAGGAAAACGAAATCCATTGGTTTCGAAGCGTCGTTTAAATATACTTTATTTCATAGCGATAATCGTAATATCATGAATTTAATTAATATTTACTTCATTAGGAAGTTGGATAGAGATAAGATAAATCATATAATAAAATATAATTTTTTTTTACAAATATTTCCCATGTAACAGTGTCAAATTGATAATTGTAATCGGTTCTATTTTTATCCGGCTTATTTAGTTTAATTTTTTGTCTGGACTATCCGATAATTCATTACCCATTTAAGTAAAATTCATACATGGTAAACGATGTTATATTGACTAATAAATAAATTTACTCATAAAAAATTTATACAATATAAATATGTGTAAATCCAACTTTGAACTTTTCTGCTATTACAAAAAAAAAAAAAATTGAGCATAATAGTTTCTAAAATTGTATTTGATTAACTTTATACAGTACTGCAGTATATGATAAAATCTGACGTCAAAAATTACTGAATTGCAGCACTGCCACATTACCTTATATCTATTAATGTGGAAATTAATGCGGCGTTGCACATTGCGCAATTGCGCAATTGCGGAAACTTGTAAACTAATTTTGACGTCAAACATATGATCCTTTAAAACCTTTTGGTCGGAAACCAAGTCAACCGGAAAGCATCAGCCGGAGGTGATATACTTTTTTAAACCTGATTTACGAACCGGTGGTGATCATGATATCGCATGAATTTATTGCTAAAAGGAAAAAAATATTGTAAACCATTTCACTTGCTAATTTGTGTTTATTAATGCCATTTGCTTTCCAAGTCAATTTCGAAAGATTTCGATATCATGGACATGAAATACACAGATGAATGGAATTTTGTTACGTACGTACGTAAGTACAAAATTCAATCTACTTTTTGTGTGATATGGTTTTGGTGGTTTTGTGCACCATTAATAGTATAATAACGCTGATATCCTTCGATCATATGCCATAAAATAAAATTTTTTTTAGATCCCATACAGTAACACATGAAACAAACATAGATACGCCGAGTAAAGTATAAGAATAATGTCTTGTGTCACTGTATTGAGTAAATATTCCTTTCTATATCGAAAACCTTTTTTTTATTTAAATACTCCCTATACTTTTAAATGTTTTAATAATAATTACAAAAAAAAACAAAAAAAAAAAAAATGCAAAATCCACAAAGTGACTTTTATCAACCCAATACTAATTTTAATCCTTACATTCATTATAATGCTGAACAATTTGCTTTATCTAATGGAGGTCCTGCATATAATGTACCTGCACTAAATGTGGCTTCAGGTACCCAATTCAATGCACAACAACCATCAAGGTTTGAGGTAAGAATTATGTCCCCTCCCCCAAAAACATAAAAATAAAATTAAGCAGCTACGAACCTATTAATAAAATCCTTCATTTATCATTTATCATATGCAAGGCTCCAAATTTGCAGCGTGTCCCTACTACCTTAAATTATAGCATTCGTCATACTTCAGAAAATGAAGGTGAATTTGAAAGTAAACTTATTGGCTCTCCAAATAATGCCATACCTGAGCAAATGAACAGTGCTGCAATGTTAGATAAACAATATTTACTTCTTGGAAATGATAATGGTTTGTGGGTAATGGATTTCTCGACTCACTGGGATTTAATAAAACCATTACAATTAATTCGTGGATGTTCATTTAAGAAACTGCACGTTCTTGAAGAGTATAATATGATGATTGCTATTGCTGGAAAGAAAGATATGATCAGAATATACAGATTGGATTCATTATTACATTTAATTAAATTTGTGAGCAACTCTGAATCAAAATCTCCTATTGATCTTTCTAAAGCTCCTAGAAAAATTGCTGCTCCTAAATGTGAAAGTTGTGGTCGTATATTAGAGGATAATCGCACTAGTCCTAATTGTCCACATTGTGGATTTGCTCCCAGTGTTAACTCAAAATTAGTATCTAATTTAGCTGAGCCACTTAGGCCATCTCCTTCAAAATTAAACCGTAAATTATCAACTTTTACTTCTAATTTATCTATTTATGTTCGAAATTATCTTTCCAATTCTCCGGGTATAAATGCCAGTATGTGGCGTTGGGCAACAGATTACATAAGTTTACCTGAATCTGTAAAAGATTGCACAACTTTTGATATCACTGAGATAAAAAACATTATTTACTTAACGGCAGTCACGTTAAATAATGGAATTATTCTGTTTTCAATGCCTACGGAAATGAAAGGCTCCCCGGATTGTAAATTCGATTATTTAAAATCTTATTATGTTCCTGGCTCATTAAATTTTGTTAATGTGGTCGTAGATTCATCATCCATTAAACAAATAATTGCAATTACCGGTATTGGTAGTAGTAAGGCTGCAATTATCGATTGTTATACGACTGATGTCACTGAGATTAATATGAAAAAAAATATTACTCCAAAGGATGTAGAATTTCCATCATGGACAAACTTCATACAAATCCCATATTCATATTCTTTAGATTTTTTAAATAACAATCCTATTGTAACTGATGATCGTCCAATTATACCTTTGTCACCTCCATATAATCAATCCCATCTTTCCCCATCATTTCTAACTTATTCACATAACACGCCACCAGAAAAGGGAAATGATAATATTTCACGTCGTTTCACCTACCAGGTTAACAGGATTACAAATGAAACACTAGATCAGGATACAGCACGTCGTCGTTCTTCTGAATTTCCATCTGTAACAAATTCGGATGTTCCTCTATCACCACCAATGTCACCTGTTAAGGCTACATTTGAAACTTTATTACCAGGACAAGTCTTTGTTTGTACAATCTCAAATACGTCCTATCTCGTCAATATACATGCTGAACCTTACAAACATCATCGATCTATACACTGGTCATCTGATCCAATACATATTACTCTTTTGCCGACTTTTGATGATATATTACTCATAGCATTTGAAAAACAAACAATTGAAATCGCTTCATTGAAAACTGGTAAAGTTATTAAAAAAGTTACAGGTGGATCACAAGTTAAATTTTTGGGTGAATCCTTGAAAAAGCCACCGCAACCAAAAGGAAATTTACCACAATATAAGACTGATGAAAACCATCTTAATAACTTTATAAGGAAACATGTATTTTGGTCTAGTAAAATGAATACCGATGTTTATGTTTATCGAGGGTTGATTGCTTAAAGAGTGTATATACAGTATATGTACAGTAGTCATAAATTTTTTTTTATTTTAATATTATTAATATTATCATTTTAACTTATTCTTTTTTTTTATGCTTAAATCAATTGAACCTATTGGTGCAATTAGTAAATTTATTTTTAGAAAGTTTAGCTTATTACTTATTATCCGCTTTAACTTGATTTAAACATCTGGTTTAACGGATTATTATGTTTATTCTGAAACGTAGGGACGATTCAAATGTATACTCGAACAGTTGTAGCATTTATATGATTTATTGTTTATTTAAAAAAAATTAAATAGTATAAATTTTTTACTCGAGAAAAACAAAATAATTCCAGAAAGTTGCATATTACATAATATCAAGTTAAAATTTCACGGGTTTTTTAATATTGGTTATTATGGAAATTTTGTGGTATAGGATATTGTGAGGGCAAAGATTATAATAAATAATGGTATAGTTATTTGATTCATTTCGCTAAGAACTTTATAGAAGTAATCATGAGATTTATTATTTAAACATATTTGGAATTTAAAATATTGTTTTAAATGATAGTCTATTCGATTAGTGTCCAATTAGCCCTAACTGTATATATATGCACGTCTATAATACCATAGCCATATTTTAATATAAGTAACCGCTTTACATCGAAGACTTACACCTGGCATTATACCCGGCGGGTTACTCGGGTGATCAACAGATTTATCCGGGTATAAATTAAATACTTTTACTTTACTAGATAGTTGCCTAAAAAAAGAAAACAGCTACATAGATAAAATGTAATAATTTGTGCCTAACCGATTACTTTATCTTCAATTGATTACTTTTTAATCAATCAATGTGTTTCTGCTGATTTTTATCGATATGCAATATATCTGGGTAATTATTTTTGAACTCGGACCAATTTTATATATGACGTAATAACATTTTGGTCTGGATTCAAAAATAATTACCCATCTGTCAAGTAATTGAGTGTCGTCAAAAGAAAACCCGACAATCTAAAAATAGATCACAGATCATTTATGAATTTCATAAGTGATCTATGTTAGAGTTTAGAACCGGTTTTATTTTTCATATGTTAAAACCGGTTTTAATCGATTTTATCATATGAAAAATAAAACCGGTTCCAAACTCTAGTCAAAACCTGACTTGTTGGATCTACAAATTTCAGTCTCAATATTATTAACACAGCTAAATAACGCTTTCATATTGTTAACCATTTTAAACAAAAAACATTCAAATTTTTCAAGTCATTAACACTAAAATCACAACGTGTTGACGTAAAAATTGCACTAGGCCATCAATAATACGTAAAATGTAAGACTATCGATCTTTTTTTTTTTGAGTCACACCGCTCTTACAAATCAATAATAAAACAATAAATTAAAATTTTGAATATGATCGTTTGATCAACAACAAAGAGTTCTAAAAGATTTACAAATTTAGCGTACAAATAAATTTTTTTTTAAAGCTACAATTAGGTCTACGATAAATATGTAAACTCGGGTCTATCTAGGGCTGTCATTTCTAGCTTCATATTGATAATAACTTCTGACATAAAGATAAACCATTCTATTAGTATTCCAATTTTGATAAATTAAAAATTTCTTAACTGGATAACGGATCAGTGCATATCTATTACAGCTGCAAATTACTCTTGTACTTGGTAAGTTACCGATAGGTTTAAACTCAACATAGTTTTATAATGCTTTACAATTTAACTGATTCGAAATTAACTAAAGAACTTGAAATCATGGTTATAGTACCTGAACAAAGTAGAATGCCTTTCAAGAAAGCCTTAGAAATTAAAAGATTTTAGCTTCATGAAATTCAGTCTATTAGTTTGACATGAAGTAGATAATTTTTTTTACGTACTATATTTTGATTTTTCTCTATTTTCTACTATTGCTACATTTAATTATCTCAAATTAATTTTTAGTAAGGATAAAAAAATTAAAATTATTTAAATATATTTTTAAAGTATTACTTTAAGGGCTCTAAAATTTATCGCTATAACGATGTATCGCTACCCCGGGTCTAAGTCAAATCAAAATCCCGAAAATCAAAATTCCGAAAATCAAAATCCCAAAATTTATTTGTCGCGCCACGTGATGTCGGGGTAACTCAGCTTATGATTAGTAATCTATGGGTAATTTATATTACTAATCATAGGCGGAGCTTGAATATTGAAACCCGTAAGTATCAGGGAATAGCGATACATCGCTATGGCGATAAATAATAAAATCTTAGTATTCACCGGAGGTGAAATTCACCACAATATGTTTTTTAATTATCATTTATAACTTGTATGACCTATAGAAATTTTACCACAAATTTTAAAGCTAAAATTAAATCTTAGAGCCATTTCGGCCACACGGCAAATGTTTAAAAGCCAAGTTATTAATAATTTGTAAATGTGGTAGAAATCAGGCTTCATAATATATTAAGCCAAATTTTTGCAAGGTCTTTAGTATTTTGGCTATTTTTCAGAAAAATTTTAGCAGACTGGAATTTTCGGAAATCCGTACTTAATATACAGCCGAAACATCAAAAATCTAAACGAAATTATTGCCGTACAACAGAAACTTTCTGAAGTCCACTAGAATTGCTGCAAGTCTAATAACCTATATTGTACACTTTTTGCACCTTTTCATTCTCTCGTGATCTTTTACCCTTATCCGAACTAGAATTAGCAACATTACCATTTCTTACCTATTTGAAATTTAAAAGATAATGAAAAGATTATTTAACTATAAATATTTCCGCTTTCTAATCCCTTTGTTTAAAAAAACTAATATCAAAAATCCAACTTTGTAACTTACAATAGGAGTATTTGATTCTGTGTAATGACTAGAGATGTGCTTCTCGCGCGAAATGCTGATGTCATAATAAATTATTTATATCTCGCGCGAGAATCAATTGAATGATATCAGTATTTCGCGCGAGAGGCACATCTCTAGTAATGACGATGTGCCTACAGTACATAAAAATTAAACTAACCAATAATCAAGTTTACATCATCACGTAATGTTTACTTGTGATCTTATTAACTTTTCTAGTGTATATTTCTTTCGACCGCCTGTGAATTAATCTATAAAAACAGTAAGAAATTAGACATTTGCAACATGGTTACAAGGATTGTAACAGAGTCCCACGGGTACCTTAGCAAATAGCCGATATTGGTTACCATGACTCCAATGAGGTCTTGAAACCTTTCTTTAATTAATGAGTGGAGTTTGGATACGTCATCCGATTTTGGTTTTCAAATTATCCTTGCCTTCGTTATAATGGGTTTTCTTATTATTTCGATCGTAGTTTCACAAATAAAATTTTGTACCTTTCTTTAATTAATGAGTGAAATTGGCAGATTTTCTTTTTTAATATTTTGTTCGAAGGAGAATTTTGTTGTCAATTTCCTCATCTTTCTCAGAATGGATTTTTTTATTATCGATCGTAATTTCATAAATCAAATTTTGAACAGGCTGTAGCAGGAGTACCATGCAGAAGTCACTACAAGCAATTGATTCTTGCTTCTTTAGAAATATTGTCGTTTTTGTATTGAAAGTTATCATTCGATTTGTTTATTGAAACCCTTGTTACGTTGCTTTGTTTGATGTAGCTAATATGATATTTTTCTAGAAAAAATGATAGTTTAGTAGATCTCAATCGTGCTCAAACATTTGAACAAAGTAAATCGGAACCATTCCCTTCAAAATAACCAACCTTTTTAATAATCTTCACGTTATGAAAGTATAAAAAAATACCAAATATTTATAAAACAAAAATTAATTGATGATGTTGTTGAGAGATGGGTTTTTATATTTAATGAGATCGTGTCTTTGTGAGGAATTATATAGCTTATTTTTTAATTTTGGTTAAGATATTATGGTTTTGGGCATCAACTATTTTGATAAAAATTTGGGTAAAAAAGTTAATAATCAACCAATCAAATCATTAATTGTCACAAATGAAGATCAAAACAAATCACCAACAAAATTCAAAATAATCAACCAATCAAATCGTTGATGATCAAAACAAGGTTATTAACCAAATCACTAAAATTCAAGATATAGTGCCGTCAAGGGAAAACCTGTCATCGGGCTTTCAATGTTTGGTTTGTTTACGAAGTGCCGTCTATGGAAAGTTTATCATCGGGCTTTTAATTATAGTTTGTAATAACTCGCCACAAAATATAATTAGAAGTCCGATGATAAATTTTCCCCCGACACAAACTGGACATTGAAAGCCCGATGACAGGTTTTCTCTTGACGGCACTCATTTATTGTCAGCGAGGTTTTACTTTATTACAGTAATTCTATTCAAATGTTCTGTTATCATCATTTCTATTAGAGACGCATTATAACCTTTAGTCTATATTAAATTAAACGATACAGTATTATTTACACGCATTTGATCTAAACCATATTAAGGTTTACTCGGCAGTTAACTTCTATAATTAACACAAAAGATACAGTATAAACATTAAATAAAATAACAAAAATTTGCATTTTTAGTAGTGAAATATTAATTTTTTAAAAAAGTATTTTAAGATGTGTAAATAAGTTACCTGAACGATTGATTCAAGCAAACCTATTAAACGAATATCCAATCATAAGTTGTTAATAAAAGCCAAGCACGTTTTAGAACTAAATAAAACTATTTTGGGATCGTTAAAACTAAGGTCATGTTGGATATAAACGAAAATTTTCATACTACAATACCAAAACTATTCTCGGATTCTTTTAAGATCTTTTTGTTGCACATGGTTTGGTGTTTTTACGTAGTCTGCACGCTGATATTGTCACTAGCAAGAATTTTGGATCCAGAAAACTAGAGTCTTGTTGAATTTAAATACAAAGTTTTTAAGTATAATATATTTTCTAAAAAAAAAAGGTATGCTTTTTTATACTGAGTCCCTAGTGAATTTAATAAATTAACCAATCAGCGTGAGTTTTGCAATAATCACATTGGAAATAAATCCGCCCATATGAGTCCGACGAAG